AAACAGATCACTACAAAATTCCTTTTTTTTTGTTAAATCTTCCAAGGTGAACTTTTGATACACACAGACTTCTCTATGAAGACAAAACAATAAAAACATGTTTTTAAATCTTCCAAGGTGAACTTTTGATACACACAGACTTCTCTATGAAGACAAAACAATAAAAACATGTTTTTATAGCGACCATTCATTAGTTTATTTTAATTTTCCAGCGATATGTCTGTTTGGTGAACTGGCAATATTTCTAGGATTTCACTAAAATCAAATAACAGTGGAATCGTGTTCACAAAAATTATTTTCAAAGAATTGATTTCACTACAAAAATTGTCAGCCTTTTTTTGGAAGGTCCCCTGGTTCCCAGCGGTAACTTTTCGGATTTACAATGCTAAATTCATAGTTCGATTCTCCTCGGTGGACACAGCAGACACCCCCGATGTGACTTTGCTATAAGAAAACTCACATACGTTTTGGAAGATCAGAAGTATGAAACTGCGCGTGCTTGGTTGAAGTGATGTATTTAGCAGGGAAGGCGGCTACTCTTTTAACAACGAATATTTAAAATTGGTCGCACATTATAACGCCTTCACGATTGAAAGTGCGAGCATATTTGGTGGGACGTGGATTCGAACCTTCGACCGTCAGATTGCGAGCCAAGCACTCTAACCACCTGGCCGTGATGAATTACACAAGGTTTTCAGTTAAATGTGTATTAATTTAGCAAACACGGAATGTCTTAAGGCAGAATCTAGTTTATTTGTCAACGATAAGAGTCGTTTGGTTTAAAAACCACAAGGTTATTTTCTCTCACTGTGATAGTGATTTGTTACACAACAGAAACTACTCTGTCTGCCTCAAGTCCAGCCGTATTTTTTTCTCTATCATGCTGTTTTGGGTTAGATTTTTTTTAGCCAGTTTTCGAGTCGAATTCGTCATCTAAGTAGCTTGTTTCTTATATTCCAGGATGTACTTTTCGCATTCCCTGTCCACCCAGTATTCCCATAACAACCCCTCTTTGCTTCATTGATTTGATTTTTTGGTCTCAGACGTAGACAACAACAAATCGAGTGGAAAGAAGAGATCGACTGAAAAAGACGTAGAAACCGATTTGAAGATCAACAGTTATTTCTTGTTCTTGTTGGTGATTAAAAGATAAAGGTCTCTGTTAGAGACCTACAAAACCCTTACAGCTCTGGACTGACCGGAAAATCGAAGATAGTCTTTTTATTTTTACCTTATTATTGATTGGTGCAGCTTCTGGGATTTAATTGGATAAAAAAAATATATATATAGATTTTTTCTGAATGCATTTTAGTTGATGAAATATTTCACTTTTTCGTTATTTCTTACATCATTACGTTCTAAGAGGATTGAAGCTCTAATCATCACATGCCAAGCTGGTATCGAATTAAAGAATAAAACAGGTGTGCGATATCACACCTTGCGGACTTGCGACGCTAAAAACCGGGTTTCGATACCCGTGGAGGGCAAAGCACAGATAGCCTGTTGTGTAGTTTTGTGCTTGACTGCAAACAAACAAACTTATTTAATTTTATATCTGATTCTCTCGGACATCTGTGTTTTATATCTGGTTCTGTCGGACACCTGTGTTTTATATCTGGTTCTATCGGACACATGTGTTTTATATCTGGTTCTATCGAACACCAATGTTTAGTAAGACATCTCAAACCAATTTATCTAAAACTGTGACGTATATCACAAAAATCATGAGTACACCATTATTTCTCGTCTAATATTTTTTTAATTCTACGCCCATTCAGAACCTGGAGTGGCTTTGTGGTGAGCGTGCCCTAATTGTTGATTCGAAGCTCTATGGTATGCATCCCATTACTTTCAGCACTATGGGAGCGTAGGTGGGTTAAAAAGAATGACGGGCAAGTCTCAACATAGGAGTAGTGTAGCCCAAGAGTTGACGGTGGGTGGGAGCTGTAGGTGGGTTATAGAAAATGACGGTCAAATCTCAACGTTAGAGTAGAGTAGCCCAAGAGTTGACGGTGGGTGTTGTTAACTACTGCTTTTTTTTAGTCTATCAGTTCAGAATTTGGGAGATCTAGCGCTGATAGTCCTAATATCTTTGCGCGAACATCCGAAACAAACGTACGTTGAAACTTAAAAAAAAAACCTAAAGCGGAAAAGAGCGGTACCATATCCTAAAATCTGGCGGTGGGTCAGCGGTAGGGTAAAATTTGGGGTTCGGTTCCCCGCGGTATACAGAACACGGATAGTCTATTGTATAAAAACAACATATCCTTAAAATTATAGCACCGTTGTCAATTAAATTTGACGACAATTAGAAAAACCAGAAGTTTATAAAGAAGAACGTTAGATAATTATTAATAGAATATCAGTCCCAAAATCAGCGGTATGTCTGCGGACTTACAACGCTAGAATCCGGGTTTCAATACCCGTGGTGGGCAGAGCACAGATAGCCCATTATGTAGCTTTGTGCTTAAACTTAAAAAACAAACAAACAGTCCCAAAATAAAAGTATTAGCTACATGGACCTTGTAACAGGACAAATAATAATATTAAATGTATTACGAACATTTTTTTCCCTCGGATTTATAATCAAAGATGCAAATTTGTGTAAAAAAAAAAAGTGTATTTTTTGGGGGGGGGGATATTCGCACAAATGTACACAAAAGTTATCTGAGCTAGATGTCGCCAGTTTTAAACGGAAGGTAAGAAGCTATAAAACAAAATACACAGCCATTTCTTGTTTTGGGTATCTCTAATCTAACAGTGTGATTTGATTGTCACTCTTCTAACGCACGAACGATACAAATGTGCTGAGCGTGTTTGTTTGTTTTTTTCGCCCTGCATGGCCAGGTGGATAAGGCGCTCAACTCGCAATCTGAGGGTCGTGGGTTCGAATCCCCGTCCCACCAAACATGCTCGCCCTTTCAGCCGTGGGGGCGTTATAATGTGA